TTAAGAATTTCAACAAGAAATGGCAAGTCAAGAATTACCACCACAAGAAGTGATGACAAAGAATAAAATTAATGTTCTAAAATTGAATAAAGCACTTTATGGATTCAAATAATCACCTAAAGTGTGGAATGATACCATGAAATTTTTTTGTGAATAAAACTAAATATGAAAAGATGAGCATATGATGTGTGTCTATATAAAGGAAAAAATGTATGGTTGAATTTCTATTTGTTGACGACATACTAATTACAGGAAAAGAGAATGCCAAAATACGGCTTGACGCCGACAAGCAATTCATTATGATTGCAATTTATATTTTATTATTCTTTAAATTATCAACTATTAATAGATTTTAAAAAGCACACCGTTACGAGTTATTTTTGTAAAGTTAATCAACGACTATAACATGAAAAGTACGCCATTTACAAAAAAAATTGCCAGTACAAAGTTAAAATGCCTAATCTGTCGAAAATCGATATTCGTTATGAATTAATCAATAGTTGTGAAAGTGAATAAAAATATAATAAATACGTCATCTTATAATATTTTTCTCTTTGGTATTGCACAAAAATATTTTTCCTTATTATGTTACATAACTGTAATTAGTAAAGATATAATGATCATGGTATAACATATAATTGATTATTAATTAACAATCGATGTTAATCGATTTAAAAACAATTTAACATCCAATAATGGCAATTTTTTTTTTTTATTGTCATAGTCAATAGTAAACATTACTTTGTTGTTCAGTGCTTTCTGTTATTTTTCGTTTATATTCTATCTATTTAACTTTGGCCAGAATCTGTTTTACTTGTTGACCCGGCTTTTAACATGGGCCAGAATCTGTTTTACTTGATGACTGGTCTTTTATCTTAGACTGAACCTGTTATTCTCGTCGACTCGGCTTTTTCTCACGGTTTTGGAATCATGCTGCGATGTATCAACTGTGACCTGAATGTTACTCGAATTAGAAGACACTCAACAAAGTGTTTGTCTGTAAACATCCGAGATGAAATCCAACAACGAAATTCTCTGCCCGACCCTTATTATTTCAATGCATGTACGACTAAAATGCTGTGGGTATTTACATATCAACATAGATCACATAAAACTTTAATATTAACTCTTACATTTTACCTACAGATACCAAGCAACAGTGTGGTGTGTCATGAGTGTTGGTTATTACTAAACGAAGTGCCTATAATAAGTCGAATTGGTAATGAAAATGTATGTTAACAAAAATAATGACAAAAAATCTCATGTAAGATCTGTTGGTGCAAAAAGGATTTTGCCACAACAAGTAAGTACAAACAACATTGATTTAATAATAATTAATAAGTTATAGTAATAATAATAAGTTAATTATTTGATGATTATAATTTATCATTATATTATGCTTATGCGTTGTATGCAATGCAACACATACAAACAAACTGAGCATGTAATAAAGTATAGATAGTATTATAAAACTAATGGTATGGTGACTGTACATTGAAAATATTTATATAGAATGAAACCCAAATCACAACCTCTGTGGAGGAGTGGTGTCTACATAGAAGTTAAGGTTGTGGCACCTTAAGATGTTCTGGATTCCAACCATGGTAGGGACATGTATTTGTGTGATGAACACAAATATTTGTACCTGCATCGTGGTTGTATCATCCATATTTATATATTCTATGTGTTATTTAGTTGCCATAGTATGAGATTTCTTAGTTTGCACTAAATAATTGTTGTGAGTTGTCCCAAATATTAAGTATTTGGAAACCCACTCAATGGGGTTTGATTGGGTTTTTACCTGGGTCGAAATTAAAATTTGAACCATGTCTTATCTAGAATAAATGCTATACACATTGAAAAAATGATTATGTAACAATAGTTCTAATGATTTATTTCTTTTTAGCTCTGATCATCAGACAGAATTTGTCACCCTTGTTGGCAAAGGTGTAATAGTTTAACTGTAAATTATACTGCACCATCTACATCATCTGCAAGTTCTACACCAATTGTTCCAGATGAATCTTCTCAAGAATTGCCAATTCACTCTTATGATGATAACATAATATCAGTCACGGCTTCCGGAAAGTACTCACAAGTGTACCTACAATAATTTTGGTGGGGTATAGAACTGTTGGTTGCTGTGTTTACATTAGGTATTTAGGATAGGCTAGATATCACTTAAATATAGAACTGCCAACACAATTTTAGATAATTTATTAATTAAATATGAGAGCAATGATACAACTGGTTATTAAAAATATAAATCTTTACATGTTTTTAATTTGCAGATTTTTTTTTATGACTTTTAAGTCATCCTTTACCTAAAATCCATAAACATATATAAATAGGCTGTTTTAATGAAAAACTAGGTAGATTATTGTTGAAAAAATACAAAAACTTTTTTGAATATAACTTTTTTGTGAGCTTTTATTAAAAATGTAATGTGCTTATAATGTTCTATATTTTTTGCCCTCTTTCACACATGTCTGTCGGTTCTGGCCGAAGTTTCTATGGAAACTTGGCATTGCCCTTTAGAAATTATAAAAAAAGACAATTAAAAGCTTACAAAAAGCGTATAAAGCAAAGGATTCGGAAAATATAACAAGTTCTTATAGAAATTGACATAAAAAGAAATAAAACTACAATAGAGTTATCACAAGAAAGATTTATTAATAAACTTTTACATGAATATAAAATGGATAGGTGTAATCAAGTCAAAACACCTATGGCAAACATGTTTCAAGCTATAGAAAGCTGAACTAAATTTGAAATTACCTTACAGATAATTGATTGGAAGTCTTAACTATTTGTCAATGATGAATCGTCCAGGCATTACATTTGGAACCAGCTATCTCAGTCGATATCTTGATTGGCCAATAGATCAGTTATGGACAACTACTAAGATCTTACGATACCAGAAAGGAATAAAAAACAAAAGATTTGTAAATACTTATAATACCGGGTACTAGACGCGATTTTACATTGACTTGCGCCAACGTTTAATACCTACCTATAAATTATAAGTATTTAACAATGCAGGGCGATAGTTTAGAAGGGAAAAAAGATAAGTATAAAAAGATACTTTTACGGATGCAGATTGGGCAGGTGAAAGACTGGACAGAAAAACACCAGCGGGTCTGCCATCTACCATGGCCATAATCTCATATCATGATCATCCAAAAGCAACAGTGTGTTGCATTATCATCTTCAGAAGCGGAATATATTGCATATATTGCATATATATATTGCTACTCTATGCGGGAAGAACTGGATGCACAAAGCCCAGGATAGAAAAAGTGGCGTGAGGTTGAGGAGACCTACACCCAACTATAGGTTACGGAGGGCTGATCAAGAGAGTATATACTAATATAGCGAATACCACAGTTCGCATAGATTAAATTTGGTAGTTTATAATGAGCTTGGAAAAGTATTTTGTTGATTGTAAACTATCTGAAAAACCAGTTCGACTACAAATGAATCTTGCAGATTTTAAGAGTTATTTTACAATTTTTTAAGCATTTTGACCTCTCAGTTTGATGACCAATGGTTGGAATGAATGTACCGATCTATGGATTTGGTTAATTAAGAATTCCTGAATACATTCAAAGGCTAAGTTTGAATTTGCCTCTAGAGTCGAGCGAGGTCTTTAAGATGCTAAAAGTCGGACCACTCTTACGTCATATTTTTGTCTGTGTTATCTCATTATTAACATTACTGTAATGTAAAAAAACGACTAGGTTATATACCTTTCTAAAAATTAAAGAATATTGATTATCGTTCTTCTTTCATTTCTGTATTCGGTGAAGTTGCTGGAATTGTAGAATTCGATATCGATGTTACTACAGTCCTCATTGAAATGTTTGTAGAGACTGCCTGCGATGATAACGTATCATTACTTGTTTCGTTTGATTTCTTCGGTCCTGTAATAGTATTTCACGTTGAATTATTTCAATTAACGAATTGAGTCTGAACTGACTTCTAAGTTTTCAATTTGGTTAATTTACGTTATCAACTTTTCTGTATCGCCTCAATAATTTTCCAAATCGCCGTTATAAATAAAAAATAAAGAATATAAAGGCAAAAAGAAAACGAAATCATTGGGCTACTCAATGAGACAAACAGGGAAATAAGAAATGATTCCACAAAAGAGAGCATCGAAAATATTATTTAATTAATTTCTAGCATAGAATTACGACGATTATTAATATTCATAATGAATATTTCAAAGCATAGTTAAAATATTAAGTTTAAAATAATAAAATACCCATTTATTATTTTAAACTTGAAATTTTTTAATTTTTTTATAATTTTAAACTTCTAATGAAAAAATCACGTTTGTTATATGCGAGCCCCTTAAATATTTATTTATAAATACATCATTTGTGAAAATTTCAACTGTTTGTCACGGTTCATCATATAAAGCCCGATGACAGACAGACAGCGAAGTCTATAGGGTACTCATTGGGTACGGAGACCTTAAAATGACCCAAGTGTTGTTGTGGTTTCTCTTATGTGATTCCATTCGACGGGAAAGCCTAATACTTTATGATTAAATCAATAAATTAAAAAATCTCTTCCGTACCAAGTTTCCGTGTGATGTAATTGTAAATCTTTTTTGGTTTGAAAACTAGAATAATGAATAACCACAATCCATGGAGTTCATTCAAATTCTGAATTATTAAAATCACCACGGGCACCTTACTACTGGAACCCAACGTATAGATAACGATTGTTCGAATTAACCAAGTACTACTCATTAGTACAAAGAGCTTCACAGTCAACTGGAAACTGTAATAATAAAAAAAATTTATTTAAAATGCAATAATATCGTTTGTTGGAATCAATTGACAAAACTCTCTTTAAATTTTGCAATATACGAGTAATATGGGTGGATGCCTATCTGAAGATCCGTCAAGCGTTTCACGGAAGTATACTTTATTAGGCAACATTATCATCTATTGAATGTGTAAAGTTGAATGTCATATCTTGAGCCACGTTAGCACTTAATATCTTTTTTGACACGGTTCGTCTTTTTTGCTTCTAGAAACTAAACTATAACAAAACTTTTGTAAACTACAAGAGATATGAAGAACTATTCTTAGGAACGCTACATTTATACAATAAAAAACTAGTATTCAGTTCGGGAATCGAACTCTGACATTTTGAAAAATTAAACAGGTACTTACATACATACCGATTGTGTTGGTTTTAAGCAATAAATGTTACTATAAAACATGATGATTAAAATGAATAAAATTCATTGCTTTTCATATCCTCTAATATATTTTTCAATGCAGTTGCTCATAAAGCGCTATTTTATAAATCCGTTGTAAACACCAAAAGTGAGTCTTTAAATACGTGTTAAATAAAAATGTACTGAAATCCTTTACTGCACACGTGCTTAAAAGTATATTATTAAATTTTTTTGGCCGAGCACCAAAGAAATTTAAAAAAAATTGATGAAAATATGTCAAACTTTAGAGGCAAAAATATTTCAAGGAGCCTAGAACGAATATTTTCAAATAAAAATGTATGACACGAAAACAGGCTGTATTTGTAGTTGCATCTTTGCCTCAACAAAAAAAAAAAGAAAGCGCGCCATTCGTGAAATAATTTTCTTACTTTCTGCGTGGATATTCTATTGTGTTTTCGTAATGAGCTCTTCTGACTTAGAAAATTTAGATTTAACTCCTTCTGATATAACAGAAGACGCCCAAAGAGCCAATGAAGCAATTTTTCCGGATAAATCAAGAGACAAGTACTTGGAAAAATACGAAAAGTTCATGAAATGGAGGAGTGAAAAAAATTGTATATCGTTTTCTGAAAATGTATCGTTGGCGTACTTCAATGAGCTTTCCTTGAAATAGATACCAATCATCGCTGTGGTCCAAGTTCTCGATGTTAAAAAGTACGCTGAGCTGCAAAAATGACAGTAATGTACAGCAATTCACAAAACTTGTTGCATTTTTAAAAATAATGATGGATTTTGACCTAAAAAATCTATAGTATTGTCATCAAAAGACGTTGAAATTTTTTTGAATGATGCCCCAGATAGCATCTACTTGGCAACAAAGGGACGTAGTTTGCACTTTATATTACTATATTCAATGCATTACCGTACCAGACTTCCGCCCGCGTTGAATTCGGTTATATCGCTCTCCCTAAGAAACTCTTGGAATCGGAATAAAATTATCCTATGTCCTTTCTTGGTGTCTAAAGTATCTCCATACCATCAAATTTCATCAAAATCGGTCAAGTAGTTCAGACGTTAAAGCTTAACAGACAGACAGAGTTACTTACGTATTTATAATATTAGTATGGATGTTGAAACCAGTTTAATTTGCTACAGGTTGCTTTAATATTTAGTATAACTGGAGCGTGCAGACGAGACGAGTTTGTGAATATTTGCGTCAATGACATAGAAGATCACGGCGAAACGTTGCTCGCCCATATAAGAAATACAAAAAATAAATTACCCAGATCATTCACCATTCATGGCCAATTTTACAAGATAGTTAAAAAGTATCAATATTTGGAAAAATGCCAAAAGATATAGCTACATTTCTTAAATTACCAGATCCAGAAACCTATACAGGACATTGCTTCCGCAGAACATCTGCGACTATGCTGGCTGATTCAGGAGCCGACTTAACGGTTTTAAAAAGGCACGGCGGATGGAAATCAAGTATGGTTGCTGAAGGTTATATCGAAGATTCGTATGAAAATAAAAATAAAATATGCAATAAAATTACACAATCCGTAAATTTAAATGAACCTGGCTCATCCACATTCGATCCACATTAAAGGGTTTAATTCAACGTTTATACGTTGAATTACACCTTTAAATACATCTCAAAGAAACGACATGGAGCATACAAAAGATCCGGCCCAGAAAATCTTTGCCATGGTTGACAGACAATATAAAATGTATGATGGATTTGCGTAATCGTGCCCTCATGAAATACCTATTAACTAAGTCTGATGAGGATAAATTGGCATGGAAGAGTTTGAAGAGACTGGTGGAAGTAAGTTTAGCGTCAGAAAAGCGTGCTTACTTTGAACATTTCGTGAATACTCAGGCTTGTAATAGTAAGACTTTCTGGAAGCAAGTAAGGGAAAAGATTTTTGCTGACCCCTGCCATAATCATAGTCTTCCTGGCTCTTTCAGCGATCCAAATGCAATTAACTCCCACTTTTTGGATTTCTTGGGTAACAGCGACGTGTCTTCTTCTTATATTCGTTCTTTCAGGTCCTCTCGTTACAATGGATCCGTGTTTGGTTTGAGTCCGGTGACCGAAGGTGAGGTGGCAAAGCTCATTCTCTCCTGCAAGTCTAATGCTTGTGGTGTCGATGGTTTGAGTAGAGAAATGATTCTTTTAACCTTGCAATGCACTCTAAGTGTCATAACAGCCATCATTAATCTGTCTCTTACTTCTGGCACCTTTCCTACCGGATGGAAGCATGCCTTGGTGACGCCGATTCCTAAAGTTGCTCATCCGTCGGGGCTAGGGGACCTGAGGCCAATTAGCATTCTGCCATTCCTGTCGAAAATCTTAGAAAAAGCGGTGTACTCTCAGTTGAACAAATTTCTCGAAAGTAATGGAATTCTTCCTGCATTGCAGTCGGGTTTTCGTAGGAATCATGGTCCGTCTTCCGCTTTGATTGACGTGGTTGATAATATCCTGTCTCAACAGGATGCTGGTCTTGGCACCGTTCTCACGTTGCTCGATTACTCTGGTGCCTTTGACAGTATCAATCTGGATCTTCTCTTGGCCAAGCTTGAGTACTATGGTTTGGATAGCCTTTCGGTGAGATGGTTCGGAAGCTACCTATTTCAGCGTTCCCATTCAGTTAAACTCGACGGACTTCCTAGCAGCTGTTCTTCACGGATATCAAACCCTAGGGAAATTAGGCAAGGTGTTCCTTAGGGCTCAATTCTTGGACCTTTGCTATTTATAATCTATACAGCGGATATGGTTGAAGTGATCAAGTACTGCAACTATCATTGCTACGCAGACGACGTGCAATTGTATATATATACACACCCACACTCGACCCGGGAGGCTATTTTGAAGTTAAACGAGGACCTACAGAGGATTGCAAAATGGTCAGATGACAACAGGCTCCTTCTAAACCCCTCAAAGTCTAAATTCATGGTGGTCGGGTCTGACTCACAGGTTACTGGAATCATCCGCTCTGGTCCTTCTATGTCTCTTGGAAACCAAAGTGTGCAAATGGTTCAGGAGGCGCGAAACCTCGGGGTGCTCTTTGATTCCCGACTGCGCTTTGAAGCCCACGTTTTAAGTGTAGTCAAGAGTTGCATGTACCGGTTAAGGGTACACTACAGGGTTCGCAACTTCCTCAGCGAGAGGGCTCGTGTAACACTTTGTGAATCAATAATTCTCTCGAGGTTCAACTACGCTGATGTAGTGATTGGCCCTCGTCTACTTTCCAAGACTCGTCAACTGATACAACAAGTTCAAAATGCCTGTTGAAGATTTTGTTTCCACGTGCCTCCACGTACTCATATTTCACCATTTTTAGACAAGGCTGCCATTCTTCGTATGGAATCCCGTAGGCAATTACACCTGGCATGTCTTGTGTATAAAGTCATCAAATATCGCCGACCCAAATACCTGTACGACAAATTATTATTTTCCACATCGCAGCACGGTATTACATCTGTTCGACCCGTACTTGCGTATTATCATCATCGCACTGTGGCTTTCAGAGGTAGTTTTCGATTTCAGGCAACCAAGTGCTGGAATGATCTGCCACCCCCGTTGAGAAACCTCATTTCAATAAATACTTTAAAAAAAAAATTAAAAACCTATTTACTCGATCTTCAGAACATATGTTTAGTGAGGTGACTGAAATATTGATTTTTCCTGAAAACTAACATTATAATCTTAATTTTAATTTATATTTTTGACATTGACACAATTTGACATTCTAAATTTATTTCATCGTATTATAATCACATGTATATATTTAAATCTATTTAATATTAATTTGTTACTAATTTGACCTCTGTGTTATCTAATTTTTCATTATTTATCTTACATTACATTAATAATATTTCTATCTTTTATTTTGGACATTTTTGAATTCTTCTTATTAATATGACATTGACAATAATATGCCCCGCTCACTCTGGACTGGGTGACGGCTGAAAATCGGTGTTTCACCCATTCTTGGGTGATTTACGTGCACCGAGCCTTGACCCTTATCTTACTGCTGCACACAGGTATATCACTTATATAATTACGTGTACTGTTCTCAAATGTTATTTGTATTGTACAAGTTGTGATGTAGTTGTGTGTTGTTGTATGAATTAACTATTTATCTATCTATCTATCTATCATACACAACCCTGCTCCTCCTTTGGGAACAAAAACCAAGAAGAATTACATCTCAGCCAGACAATAAAATTGGCTGAAAAAACCTGCGCATTTAATTTTACTTCATGTTCAAATATCACGTTTAATTTTAACAAATAATGTTTACCTTTAATACATACTTAGTTTTATTAACCTATATATTTGTTTTATTTCCTCGCAAAAAGCATTGAAAAATGTTGTAAGAAACTTGAGCGTAAAACCTTACTTTCCGCACTCGTATCTTAAATAACTATTAGTAAGTGTTCTAATGGGAACTGTTTTTTTTCAATGCAACATTCAAATCGTTTAGTTAACATTCTCACAAATGCATTTTGTATTTTGAGGTGGTGAATTTGCGTTAAAATTGACTCCAGCTGCGATACCTGCAAAAGCTACAAGCAACCATAGAATCAATTTGAAGCAACTAAGGAGAAATAATGTATTTTTTAATTTATTTTTCAGAATGTTCGATTTCGATTTCCGAGGTTAAAACTACTTTTTTTATTGTATGTACTCGTATGTGGTTCACAGTCGATAACATAGTTCCTGAGAATACATTTTCTTAAGTGTTTCACTTTCAGACTTTATCACAGTAACCCTTCCCTAATATCGCACTTGTACATTGTAATGTCAATGTTTTTGAATAAACCGGCCAAGTGTAGCAGACTCACGCACGAAGGGTTCCTTCCGTACCCAATAAAAAGTCCTCATAAACTTGTATAGCCAACTTAAGTGTGATAGTTTTCCTTTAACTTCGTTATAGTATACCTATAGGTACCGTAACTTTTGAATTTTTACCAACGATCGTTTAGTTGATAGAGGGACGGAGGACACTTGACTCTAACGAAAATTAACATTTTAAAGCTTAATAAGACAGAAGCGGATTACCTAATCGAAATCGGCCTTCCCACACCCCCAATGTCTGAAAACCCTATCCAAAGATGTTCCACACTAAGGGGAGAACGAAAAAAAAATACCCACTTTAGATGTAGGGGAGGTACGCTTTTTTTAATATTTTAATTTTCTAATTCGTCGGCGTAATTAACGTGTATACTTATGTATAACCAAATTAAAACTTTCTAATACTAATAGTTTTTGAGCTAAACTGCGGACGGATGAACAGACGGACATGGCAAAACTATAAGGGTTTCTTGTTTACTACGGATCCCTAAAAAATATTATCATATCTTACTTTTCTTTATACATCCGATAACGACGTGCAATAGCATCTTTTTCTGAACCAGCATGCAGTTGCTGTGCTACTGATTTGACACGCACCCAGTGCACTACAGTCAGCAACAACAGCACCAAGTTTACACCAGTTATCAAACTCATTGGTATCACAAACAATATGTAATGAGGCCAATCGTTTTTTCTTTGAAAGACTAAAAAAAAAAAATATATGCGTTTGACCTAAATATGAACGAAACAAATTTGATTACAGCAATAAATGTAAGCCCCTAATATTTTACTTGTTCCTTACGGAGGGTGTGCCGTAACGAAACTGGTGATTTATTAACTTAGCTTAGACAATACAACTGTGGGTAAATTTTTTATTACCTTCGTTCCAAATCCCCAACTTTAATCCTTGGATGACGTTTTTCAATGTGAGTTTAAATTCCTTTAAGAATAAGGACATTTCGGAAGAACGGTGGATCAGTGGCCATGGACTACCATGTATGATATCTCAGTTGGAAACTACGTCGACGCACCCCTTTCCAGAACCTAGCTGGAACCCGTGGTGCTAAAGGATCGCTTCCTTAATTTCATACAGAGGGTCTTATGTTCATGGACAAATTTTTAAAATAAGCGGTCAAAAATGTGAATACCATTGTATCTGCTCAAGATGGTCGTTTAAATTTATATATAGACGGATATATAGATAAAAAAATGTAATATTTGATTCTTACCTCCACCAAACCAGCACACTCCATTGCCCATTT